AAAAATTCATACACTTAATGGAAGAAAAAATAAAGCACCACATACACTGTCAATTTGCTATTGGCATTCTAAATTTCATCTAATTACTATTCTGAAGAAATGAGGGAAAATCATGTAAAATTCTCTGTGTGCTTGATCTTAGTACACAATTCTAAATGAAATTCTCAGGCATCGCTTCTAGTGAGAATCTGGACTAATCCAAATGAAGTTATTATTTGTTTCTTTCTTTGTACTCCAAAAATGAACCAGTTTCCTTCCAACTTACCTGAGTCTCTACCTTCTGTTTTCTCTATGTTCATGATCCAGGGTTCTTTGTTCTGTTCAAGACAGGTGACTAGCTCTGGCTTTGATACAGAAAGGCCTGAGAATTAGAAGAGACATAAGAAAATTACTTAACATGATGTGGAAAAAAGTTGGGTGTTGCCTCCTGAAAGTTGCTTACATTCTTCTCCCATTTCTCAGGTAATATTATCAGAGACCTTCTGAGGTCTTTGATATTTTTGAAGACTAGATGCAATTTCCTCAGTTATGATAAAAGATAAGTTAGATATAAAATCTTAAACTCACAAATATAAGATAGATAGGACATCTTCTTTAATATTGTGACTATAATTCTTGCTTGATAATTGTTTTGTTTTATATAAGTTTACTATGTTAAAGTTAAAATCTTACTTTTTAAAAAAGTGGGAAGTTCTGTGGGGTGTTCTGTATGGCAAATGTGTTGCTCTGATAGGTCAATATATAAAACACTGATTGGCCAATGGCTAGGCAGGAAGTATAGGCAGGACTAACAGAGAGGAGAATTGAGAAAACAGTAAGGCAGAAGGAGACACTGCCAGCTGCCGCCAGGGCAAGCAGCATGTAATCCGGTAATCCTCAAGCCACTTGGCAAGGTATAGATTTATGGGAATAGATTAATTTAAACTATAAGAACAATTAGCAAGAAGCCTGCCACAGTCATACAGTTTGTAAACAATATAAGTCTCTGTGTTTACTTGGATGGGTCTGAGCGGCTGTGGGACTGGTGGGTGACAAAGAATTGTCCTGACTGTGGGAAACTCTAGCTACAGTTGGGTCTGTAACAGGCTTGTAATCAGTTGATATGAAGTTACATAAAGAAAGATGCATAAGTGGAGTCTTTTTAGTATATACTTCACTGGTCCTGTAGACTTTTAAGAAAACTTAATGTTCATTTTGTAGACATTCAACTTTCCTTTAATTACCCCATTACAAAGGCAAAACTGTTGGAATCAAACTGTATTCACACGTTATTGCTACTGACTGACTGAATGCCTGCCCGCAAATATTTGGATTTAAGGAACTATTAGGCTCAATTAAAAGGACATTTAAAATTTAAAATAAGAAAAAATTCAGTCACAATTACACTCACCAAAATGTAGAAAAAATTGGAATTCATTGATAGAAAACATTTCAAATACTAAGGCAAGTTATGAGACATTCCTAGTCCTAAGCAGCAATCATGAAAAAAATTATTCTCACCTACAGAAACCAGGTTGCTGTAGTTCTCCAACATGACTTCTCTGTATAATTCCCTCTGAGAA